CCAGCTCCAAGCTGCCAGCCAGAGCGCTCCTTTCCCCTGAGATCCAAGCAGCATCCAAACTCCGGGTTCTTTCTTCCCTATTGCTTTCCTCCCTCTACCCCATCCCTCCTCCCATCCTTCCATCCCCCATTTGTCTGTTCATCCACCCATCTGTCCATCCAACCTTCAATCCGCTCTAATTTTTAAGTCCACCCATCCATCCATCCACCCACCCATCCATCCATCCATCCATCCATCCATCCATCCATCTCATCCCATCCTCCTGTCTACCCATCCTTCCATGCATCTATCAATATACCTATTCATCCCCCATCCTCCCGTTCCTCCATTCATTCCTCCTCTCCACCCAACAAATACTGTTGGATGCTTCCTGTAGGCTGGGCAGGGAAATCCAGCATCCTCCCTCCCCGGAGGCAGCTCCCAGGGCAGAGGGATGTTAATCAAGCACTGTGAGGCCAAGTGTGATTACAAATGATGACAAGTGTTCCCAGGGAGAAGTGCTGGCCACAGTTGTTATGGCAGTTTGGAGGGTAGGCAGGAAAGACCCAGCGAGTGTCGTAGGCAGAGGGAACATATGCAAAGGCCCTGTGGCTCACTTTAGAAACAGGCTGCTGGCTGGTGTTGCCAGGGCAGGGGGCGTTGGAGAGAGCCATGGAAGGCGGAGCTGCAGAGTGTGGCAGGGGCCAGCTCACACAGGGAAGGCTGGTCTCTGCCTGGCACTGGCTCCTGGCCCTGTCTGGCTCATCCTTACTCATCCTTTAGGTCTCAGCTCAGGAATTTCCTCTTTGGGGAGACTTCCTGCCCTATGCAGGCTGAGCGAGGCCTACGCACTTTCCCCTAATAAGAACAGGGCCCAAACTTGGAAAGAAGGCAAAGAAAGGTGCTGTTCGTTCCTTTTCTCTGCCACGCTGGGGCATGTTTCAAAGATCCACTAGAGGATTGCTTAATTCTATCAGGAATACACTTGAGTTTGTCTTTGCTGTTCAATTAGGGCCCAGATCTTATAAAACCACCCTTGGTGCTAATTTGGAGGTTTTGTCTGGTGGAGGTGTGAGCGACTTCCATCTGGCTGAAAAGATAATCCCAAAGGTATGGTTTTGTCGCCTTGCAGAACATTAACCAGCTTTCTGTCTAAGCTGAACATTTTATTCTCACCTTGGTCTTTCAAAAGCCCTGGCTCTCCACCGGTTCTTGGAAGGAGTGCCGCCCTCCCGCTGGCTCACTGCTAATGTGGTTGCTCTGGGCGCTGGACAGTGCTCGTCCCTGCAGCCTCATTTCTGCATTGAGATTGCTGCTGCTCCGGCTTCCTTGTTCCCCATGAGCTCATCTGTGCGGGGCCCATCTTCTAGTCAATATCATATCCACAGAATTTTGCGCAGGGCCAGGTTCCCAGGAGGAGCTTGGGGCATAATTATTAGCTACACGTGTGATCTCGAGCTTAGCTCTTCCCCTCTTCCAGCCTCAGTTTTCTTATCTGCAAAATGGATACCATAGCACTCATGTGCCAGGGGTGTGGAGGCTCTGTGAGACAATGCACGCCATCTGCGTGGGCTAGGCTGTACCCTCCCTCACCCTGAGGCCTGGCTCCCCGAGGTCCTGGGGCTGGGGAGATCATGTCTGGTTGGAAGGACACCAGGTCACAGCAGAGTGACTCTCTGTGGGGCCAGGACAATCAGTCAAAGGAGGTTCCAGCAGATAATTGTTGGAACAGGAAGACCAGCCTGGCCAGAGGGTCCAGTTGTAGTTGGGGACAGGGTCAAGGAGCAGGAAATGTCCTTTAGAAAGTCAGACAGGAATTTAGAGAAGAGGTCACTGAAATTAGGCTCCAGTGTGAGTCCCCAAAGTTGGTACATGGGAGCCATTCCAGGCTAAGGAGGGAAACAGGGACCTGATACAGTAATTTTAGCCAGGAGGGGAGAGGAGCCAAAGTGGGGTTCCTGTGACAACCCGGCCTTGGTGCATGGGTAAGGGATGTGAGTGTGTGGGGGGGGTGTGGGTGTGTGTGTGGGGGGGGGGTGTGGGTGTGTGTGTGGGGGAGCTATGGGTGTGGTGTTAGGCACTGCAGGTGCCACACTACTGTGGAAGCTGTGGCGCCTATTTTCTCATTGAACCCTCCCTAGACCCCTGAGAGGAGGTGCAGGCTGCCACTCTCCCCATTTCCCAGGTGAGCAAACTGAGGCTCAGAGGTGAAGTCATTTGCCCAAGGTCGCAGGGCCAGGATCTGCCTGCACGTCACAGGCTGGCTGGAGGTGCGGGGGATGGGGAGCGAGGCTGCGTGGGAGGGAGAGTAATTAGAGGAGCCTCAGCAGAAGAAGCGGTGACAGATAAACGGTCTGTCCTTGCTGTCCTTGATCTTCCTGCCCACTGTGTTTCTTTCCCTGGTTCGTGGGCTATTTTGGTCTCTGGGATGCTATCTCTCAAATTAACTTGACGATGTTCCTCGGGCTCCTCACCTGGACCAGGACCCTGGCCTGGGTTTAGGGACCAAAGATAAGACGTTGACGCTGCTTTGAAGAAATTGTCAGAATGGGGCAGGCATCAAAGGTTGGGGGCGGGGTGGGTCACCAGTCTGGGCGAAAATTTGAGGTCTAGCTTCTGTGCGGGGGATGCACGCCGAGTGCAGCTTGGGGGATTTTTTTCCCTGGAGTTACAGAACGGCCTGTCCCCGGGCCCCTCCCCATCTTCCCTCCAAAGGTAGCCAATCTGACCTCCGTCACCCAGCTTTTGCACACTTGGGACACCTGTCCCTCTAAAAAGCATTTTCCATGTCATGAACTTGAGTTCAGAAAACAAACCAAGACCCAGGTCCAGAGCTCTATGTTGGAAGGGGACAATGGAGACCCCAGAAGTGGCAGACAGAGTCCCCCAGAGACTCTGTTTCCCCCTGACAGGCTGGTGACCAGGCCAACCCTCCGTTACTTCAGTGAGGAGACCATGTGGGGCTTCCTGGCTTCCCACAGGGTCTGGTGCACCCTGAGCATTTCCTGCGAACCCCTGGGGTCTCCAGCCATCCCTGGTCCCCATCCAGCCCGCTCAGTGCCTGGCCACATCCCCAGACTCGCTTCTCAGCTTGGAGCAGGATGTTGAATCTGTTTCAATTTCTTTATTAAATGGGGTAATCATCGTATCTAGCTTAGAGGTTAAGAGGATGGAGGGAGTTGGTATTAAATAAGTTAATATTTGTACAGAGTTTAGGAGAGTGTCACATAAAGTTAAATAAAATAAATAAGCCTCAGGAATCCTGGCCTTGAAAACGGGCCCCCAAAAAACGGGGGCTTTCGTGGGGAGCACTCTTCAGGGTTGGGGGTGGAGGTTTTCCTGATCCCCTGCAGGCAAGGAGCTGGTTCTTATGGAGGGAGGGGGGCAGCGTGCTCCTCTGCACGACGAAGAACCCCAAGGGAGGTGCCCGATAAATGCCAAATGCTTGACTGATTTCCTAGCAGGCAGGAAAAAGGCCACTTGGCGCCCATCAACTTTTGTTTTACCTGCCGACCTGCAGCCCTGGAGATTTGGGCTGTGGAGAAGAGAGGCCCAGGCGTGGCATAAAACACCTCCCCCAAGTCTCCTTGTCCGGATGCACCGTCCATCACTGCCGCTTCCCAGAAGGAGGCCTTTCTCCGCCCCTTCTCTCGGGTTGCACCTGGTCCCTGCAAGTGGCACGCAGATTTCATGGACTGGGCCCCAAGGGCCCAGTGGAGCTGCCCAGTTCCAGGCAGAGGGCCAGGAACCTACCGAATTCTGTCGCCTGACATGCAGGCGACCTCTGAGTCCTGCAGGAGGCTCCGGTGGTCCCTGAGCACATGAACCAGGTAAAGGGCGCAGGGAATTCCAGTTAAGACCCAACCTGACTGGGTGTGCACGCCCGGAAACCCAATGCTCTTTTCTGCAAAATGGGCACAATCGCAGTCCCTGGGCTGATGAGCACTGAAGGTGCGTGTTGGGAGGAGTCAGCCTCTGCCTTCCAACCCTGGCCGCGGGACAGCGGGAAGTGACCTGGCTTCTATTTCCCCCTTTATAAAGCATGGAGAAGGAGTTCCCACCTCCCTCAGTGGTTGAGAGATGAAACGAGGAATAACTCAAGCATTTGGCACCTAACTCGCCACGTCCCCATCAGCTCTTACAGTTGATTTTGTGGGCGGTGCTTAATATGTGATATATTAACTATCAACGTGGTGGGTAGGCATCAGGCCCTGAAGTCAGATTGCTGGAGCTGAGACTCAGCGACGTCACCCATTAGCTTTGTGACCTTGAATAAATGACATCACTTCTCTGTGCCTTGTTTATCGAATGGGGGCCATAACAGCACTGACCTGGTAGAGCTACCAGATCTGAGAGGTCCCCATGCCGTGCTAGCGCATAGTGAGCACTAAGGAGTAGTAATACCGTATTAATGCATTAGCCTTGCTGCATAACTGTCATTACTAGTGTCACCATCTAAGGGAGGGAGGGAACTACCATTTCTTGAGCACCTACCTGGCACTTGCCAGGAGGAGAGTGAAGACCCAGGGAAGTGAGCTGTTTGCCTAAGGTCCACAGATGTGGAGGGGCTGCTGGCCCACTGTGCAGGGTGAGGCAGGAAGGTGAGGCTGCACACTTAGTGAGAGTCTGCCATGGACCATGCATGGTCTCAGCGCCTGTCACCTCTCCTAATTCTCCCAAGAGCCATAGCAGGGGGCTTAATTATCTCCACTGTGCAGATGAGGGGTGCAGATCTCAAGAAGGAGAGACGCTCAGACTCCCACAGCTACAAAAAGCAGAGTCAGGATTCGAACCCAGAGGTCTGTTGGATTTTTGTCACCTTCGGTTGACTCTCTCTGAGGCAGGCCAACAGTGTTAGGTCTTCCGCACCTGCAGAGAGGAGCCAGCACTGCAGATTGTCCCTAAGCCTTGCCTGGGCCACATCGGACCCTCTCCAGGATCTTGGGGACAGGCAGACAATAGCCTCCAACGAGGCCCTGAGTCACAATCCCAAAGGCAAGGACACACAGCACCCAAAGTCGTCATTGTTACCCAGAAATCTTTATTACAAAAATATTTTGCAAGCCAAAAAGTTTAAGTTGCAACTATATACAAAACGGGGCCTGTTTCCTTCCCAACAGTCTGAAAATAAACTCCCGAAACCACGCTCCTTCCGCAGGTTTATTTCAACCTCTTCCTTTTCCTGGGGTTCCATACACAAGGTACGGGGACTCTCCAGGCTGCCCGGCTGAAACTGAACCACAGTCTTCCTTGGCCTCATTCCCTATTTCCCCCTCCCAAAATTAAAGTAAAACAAAAATTTAAATGGCACCAAGAAAACATTCTTTTAAAAATCCTGTGTGTGTCTGTGCGTGCGTGTGTGCACACGTGTGCTGTCTCTGGGCAGAGCAGAGGGACGCGGAGGGTAACAAGCCCACCCTTTGGAATTGAGAAACAGCCAGAGCAGGTGACCGGGCCACTGTGGCTCCCAGATGTCACCGAGGAGCTGGCTTGTCAGGCCAAGGCTGCCCTTGTGGCCCGTTGGCTCAGCAAACTTCCAGATGCCAGTGTGTAAAACACCAGTCACCGGCCGCGGAGAGCCGGGTCTGCGCTGAGCCCCCGGGTCTCACCTGTGTGTTGCACCTGCAGAAACGGGCGGGCAGGCGGGCTCAGCATCTGGCTCAGACAGCCAAGTGTGTGCCATGGGCTTCCCACAGCTCAGGGGATCAGGGACATTCATTTCTCAAGTCTACAAGCCACATGTGAAAACTGAATAACCAGGGTTGTGACCTACCCTCCTGGGCCCAGCCAGGCACCCAGCTAGAAGAGTGGCAGTCAGAGGGTGACTGGGTCACAGCCTCTGCCCGACTTCCTGAACCAGAGGGCGGGGGACTGGCAGGGGTCTGCCCTGGCTCAGAGCTGGGCTGCCCGGAAGTGACCAGGATCTATTCCAGTCTGATCCCAATGGCGTTCATGAGCAGAAATGGAAGCTTCTTCCTTGTAGGAATGAGTTCTGAGAGCCGGATGGGGAGGGGGCGATGGCTAAGGGGGTGAGGCAAACAGCCTGGCTCAGTGTCCCCCCCTGTGCCTGTCCCTAAAGTGCTTGTGAGAGATGGTGGGGAGGGGTGTCATCGTCCCTCTTCCCACTCTATGGAAGAGCAGACTGAGGCATCGGGTCTGGACGGGTCAGCACTTACCACCGTGGGGCCTCGGAGGGAACAGACCCCGTCGGGTGGCCCAGCTGAGGACGCGGTCCAGTGAGTCCCGGAGAGAAGGCTACGTGTCTCCACAGAGCAGCCGGATGGATCCTTCTTCCAGGTCCTCGGGGCTCTGGGACTTGGAAGGATTCAGTTTTCTGCTGTAAGAAAATTCCCTCCAGGACAACACACTGTGAAACCTCAGACTTCACAAGACCCAACCGTGAACTTCAACACATGACAAAGAGCCAAGAGAACGCTGCTGTTGTTTTAAGAAGAAGAAGAAGAAGAAGAAAAAAAAAAGAAAACAAACAAAACGAAACACCACAGATCAAGTTTTCTAACACCTCGGCTTCAAGATTGCACGGTTCACATTTCTCAATAATTTACAGGCGTCCCCGGGGCGAGGCTGCTGGGTTAGTGCTGCCGGGGGGGAAGCAAGCTGGGGGCTGAGAGGAGAGGCGGGCCGCGCCCAGTGCCCCGTGGGGCTGGCAGATGCTCCAGAGTGGCACATGGACCCGGAGCGGGCGAGGCCAGGACTGTCGGCAGCAACCTCCGAGTCTCAGGACTCGGGTCTCAGTTTTATTTTTTTTCCAGCTTTTTCCATGGAGGGGGGCAGTTGGATCTACAGGGAAAAGATTTCCCAGAAGCCCCAGTTGGGTGGAGGTGGTAAGAGAAGGTGGGGGGTCTTGTCCTCCTCATCCTGGAAGAGCAGGATCTGGGGCGTCAAGGAGGCAGCCAGGGTCTCTAAGACCACGACCCAGACCCGTGAGTGACGGTCAGAGGCACAACAGTTCTTGGTCCCCAGCGGTGGCGCCGATGGGTTCTCCAGTTGGTTCGGCAACGTCAGTCCTCCAGACGGGGTGCAGGGTGTGGGGGCCGTGGCTGCCCTGGAAACGCTGGAGAGCCGAGGGGGCTGGGCAGACGGGAGCCACCCTCACTCCTGGTCCTGGGACCGACGCCACCCAGCCGTCCCGGGACGGGGCTGGCTGTCCTCCACACGGACCACTCCATGGGGGACAAGAAAGCTCGTGGGCACAGGCCCCTAGAGCCAAGCACAGTCTGTTCACTTCCTTTGGACCTGGACGCTGGCGTACTCCGAGAAGGACGGCTCGGGCTTGGGGGCTGGCTGCTTGGGGCCCCGGTTGAGGTGGACCATGTCCAGGTCGGCGTAGGTGAGGGTGTCCTCCGGCCTGGAGGGCGGGCTAGTCTCGATGCTGGCGTACTCTGTGTGGTTGTTGGGCTCGGCGGCCCGCGGGGCAGGCTTCTTCTCCTTGGGCAGGTTCAGGTCGGCATAGGTGATGTCGTTGATGTCATTTGTGTCCTGGATCTAAAAGGCACGGAGAGAAGGTCATTCTGGAGCATCCAGCCTGCTCAACCACCAACTGGGCACAGTCCCCCCACAGTCCTCCTTCATTGTCCCCTCCTCCCAGCTGGAACCACCGGTGGTTCTCACCCCTCTTCTCACGTCACCCCTCCTTTTCCTCGTCACAAATCCACCAAGTCTATTTCAGCTCAAGCGTGACTCTATCCTAAGATGCTTCCTTGCCCTCCATGCCCCTGGCTGGGCCCAGGCTCCTTCTCCTGCTTCCCATCACAGTACCCACTGCCAAGGACAGGGTCGGCTTGGGGCCTGAATAGATCTGATGTCCCCATATGGGAAGGGATACTCATATTCATTCATGTGTTTATTTGGCAAATGTTCATTGGACTTTTGTTGATACGGGCACCAAGGCTGGCACAGGAGAGGCTCAATTCATGTTGAAGACATGAGTGCATGGATGCATGGATGGATGGATGGATGCATGGATGCATGGATGGATGGATGGATGGATGGGTGGATGGAGAGGTGGGTGGATGGATGGATAGATGGAGGGATAGGTAAGTGGATAGATGGATGTTTAGGTAGATGGATGAATAAATGGATGAGTGAATGCATGGATGAATGGATTGATGGGTGGATGGATGGATGGATGGATGGATGGATGGATGAATAGGTGGAAAGATGGATTAATGGATGGATAAACAGATTAGTGAATGCACGGATGAATGGATTGATGGATGGATGGATAAATGAACGGGTGAATAGAGAGATGAATGGATGATGGATGAACAAATGGATTAATGAGTGGATGGATGGATGGATGGATGGATGGAGGGAGGGAGGGAAGGGCGAACAATGGATGGCAATCATTTCACCCTCACTCTGGGTACAGCCGGAGCTGAGAGACAGAACAGCAGCGGTGAGGGAGTGAGATCATCAGCTGTGGGCGTTGTAAAGGTTCTGGAGTCAGAAGGCCTGGGTCTGAATCCTGGTTCTGCCTTTTCAAGCTAAGCGACTTTTGGCAGATCCTTTAATCTCTCCGGGCCTCAGTCTCCCCATCTGTGAAGCAGGGATCATCATCGTGCCTCTCACCAGGGCTGTCGTGGGGATCGAGCAGATGCATCCAGGCAAGCGTTCAGAACCGAGCCTGGCACCTGCGATCGCTTACCGCCAACACACGCCAGCCACTCGCAAAGCCGCACACCTCCCACGTTCGTCTCACCACAGGCCATCGCGCCTTAAAATGTCTCCCCGTGAACTAGAGCCTGCTCTGCCTGCGCCCAGCAGCTGCTGATCTCAATCCTAGGCTTCTGGACACCACCCACTCCCACATATCCCCTCCCGAGGCCTCACCCGGCCCTTTCCCAGGCGAGGAAACTGAAACCTAAGCGGGCCTGATGATCTGGCAGTCACCCAGCGGGCAGGGTCTGCTGGCTCTCGGGCTGTGGCCCTCCTTCACCAGGTTCCCTCCATCCTGAGCCCTGCAGGTGCTCCCCAGCTGCTGTCAGCGAAACCCACAGGGACAGCCAGAGTCCTTCCCCAGCAAGAGCTGGTGCCCAGCCTCAGGGCCCGAGGCTCAGGTCTGCCAGCTCGGCTAGAGCAGGGTCGTGACTGCCCTGCTTACTGCCCAGGGCCTGGCACGAAGCTGTGCTCATTAAGTCTTTGAGGGTGATTTCTACAGGTTTCCATGACTAATTCTTCTCACCATCGTCCTTTCCCCAGAAGGTTCCAGGGAGAAGTCCAGACTGGGGAGAAGGCCACGACTGGACATGGTTCTGTCTCTTCCAGTTCCCACCCAATCTCATGCCCAGGGCTGTGGGGGCCGAAGCGGGTCAGGAGGGCAGGCTGAGGTGTTCAGCCTCCCCCCAGCCCGACCTCGTCAACACATTATGTCTAAATGATGCCAATCGCCCAGGAAATGTCAAGGATGGGTGATGCTCCTTTACCGGGCTCAGAGCAGGGCCTGCCGCATTACCAGGTGCTGAGGGGCCCCTGCCTCCCAGGTCTGACGAGGTCAGCTGGAAATAGGCCCATCTCGTTTGCTCAGAAACAGGCCAATCACGTTGCCTAAGAAGTCTCCTTAGTGATGTTGAGGGGGACTGCCAGGTCTAGGGAGGTGCCCGCGGGAGGAAATTCATGACAAAAGGGTCTTTCCAGCAGCAAAAGCTAGAGAGGGCCGCCAGTGCTTTACCCCAGGTGGGAGCGGGCTGATGGGGATGGTGCTCCTGGTGGGGGGACTGCCTTGAGCAAATGCAGGGCTACAGCCCGACCCCAGGGCACCAGGCCACCCAGCACACATGGTGCCTGGCGCCCCACTGGAGTGGTACCATGAAGCAAGGTGACATCAGAG